CCTGGGACAGTGGTGTAACAGTACAAAATAAGAACAAACTATCAAAATCAGTCGAAAAAGGCTTAACTCATCAGATGGATACAAACAGAAATGCATATAACAAAAAAAAAAACAGATTGGACGTGGCAGGGTACTTGTACATCCCCACAACAAAAAGACACTAAGTATAGATCTGAGAGTTCTCGCAGTTACTGACAGCTTGTTCAAAGCCAATAACAACTAATAAAAACAAATCATGAATCTAAGAATAAAATATCAATCAGTACACATGCGTAAATTATTTATGGAATATATAATAAGAATTGTACTAATGAAAGGCCGTTTGAATGTACTAGATGTATAAAACGCAGCCATATATGTTCGGAATAGGAACATTAAATAATTTGTAATATTGTGCAAACAAAATAAGACGTAATTACTGGCATGTTTAAGTTTGTTAATCTACACGAAACGTTAGAAACATCAAGCTAAATGACCCGGAAAGAATAGATCAAACAGTAGTATAAGAATAGTGATACCATAAGGAGTTGTAGCGTTAATCTTATATCATGGATTATTATGCGTACAGAAAGCGTGACAACCTCCAAACATCAGATTTAATGTTCCTATTCCGAACAGATATGGCTGCGTTTTATACATCTAGTACATTCAAGCGGCCTCTCCTTAGTACAATTCTTATTATATATTCTATAAATAAATAATTTACGCATGAAATGAGTTCTCATAATCACTCCAGTATCTAAAGCATTGACTACTTTGTTGATGGTATCCTCGAATACTGACAGTCTGACACCAGCAGCGGTATCGACCCAGTTGTAGTAATGTATATATAATCGTATGGTACAAACTATAGTGTGAACGACACTTATTCCTGAAACAACTTACCTAAGGCAAAACGTTGAAAGCCTACTAAATAAAACGCTCGGCGGTGTCAAAACAAAACAAACTAGAGGCTCTCAAGAGCCTGTGTCGCTCACCTGTATTTACTGATGCTTTGGAAATCATGTGAAATAAGGTTAAAATCATAATTAATAGTATAAGATATTAGATATTATAATGATATCTAAGATAATAACAAAAACTGCAAAATTTTTGTAAAATTACTAACTCAGGGGCAGCAACCCAACAACGGGTTGTTGGATTCGTCTGAAAATTTCAGGGCAGATAAATCTAAATCTGATAAACATTTTTGCCACCTGTCAGATTTGCTCTAAATGCTTTAGTTTCAGAGATATAAAGCAAAAACTTCATTTTACCCCTATGTTTTATTTTTAACCAAGTCGGCCATGATGGTTGGAAGGCGGGGTCATCGGACAAATTTTTTAAACCAGATACCCTAATAATGATTATGGCCAAGTATGGTTAAATTAGTCTCAGTAGTTTCAGAGAAGAAGATTTTTGTAAAAGATTACAAAAATTTACAAAAAATTGTTAAAAATTGACTATTAAGGGCAATAACTCATAAAGGGGTCGACTGACAATTTTGGTCATCGAACTTATTTGTAGATCTTACTTTGCTGAACATTTTTGCTGTTTACAGTTTATCTCTATCTATAATAATATTCAAGATAATAACCAAAAACTGCAAAATTTCCTTAAAATTACCAATTCAGGGGCAGCAACCCAACAACAGGTTGTCAGATTTGTCTGAAAATTTCAGGGCAGATAGATCTTGACCTGATAATCAGTTTAACCCTATGTCAGATTTACTCTAAATGCTTTGGTTTCAGAGATATAAGCCCAAATTTACATTTTACCCCCTATGTTCTATTTTTAGCCATGGCGGCCATCTTGGTTGGTTGGCGGGGTCATCGGACACATTTTTTAAACTAGATACCCTAATGATGATTGTGGCCAAGTTTGGCCCAGTGGTTTCAGAGGAGAAGATTTTTGTAAAAAACTAACGACGACGGACGACGACGACGACGCCGACGGACGCCAAGTGATGAGAAAAGCTCACTTGGCCCTTCGGGCCAGGTGAGCTAAAAATGAATGAACAGAATTACAATAAGCGTCTTAATTTAACTTTGCCAGAAAGCGTGACAACCTCCAAACATCAGATTTAATGTTCCTATTCCGAACAGATATGGCTGCGTTTTATACATCTAGTACATTCAAGCGGCCTCTCCTTAGTACATGTACAATTTATATTATATATTCTATAAATAAATAATTTACGCATGAAATGAGTTCTCATAATCACTCCAGTATCTAAAGCTTTGACTCCTTTGTTGATGGTATCCTCGAATACTGACAGTCTTATACCAGCAGCGGTATCGACCCAGTTGTAGTAATGTATATATAATCGTATGGTACAAACTATAGTGTGAACGACACTTATTCCTGAAACAACTTACCTAAGGCAAAACGTTGAAAGCCTACTAAATAAAACGCTCGGCGGTGTCAAAACAAAACAAAAAATGAATGAACAGAATTACAATAAGCGTCTTAAGTTAACTTTGCCTGAGGGAATTGCAACTTGAACATACGTTTATGTGCCTCTTTTTGTTAGTTTTCTCGTTTATATTTTCCTATGCTCTCATGCGCTTTAGAATAAAATCCGCATCCTTCGTCTGTTTGTCCCTTTCTTGATGATATTAACACATATTTTACTTTCTTTTTGTCACCATTTATTCAAATTCTGAGAACACCCCCGGTTTTGGGTAGGGTTTGTGTTTTTTCAGCATTTCTTTTTACTTATTAGTTTGAATATCCCTTTGGTATCTAACGCTTCTATTTATAAGATACCAAAAATCTAATATTTGAGGAGGGTTTAACACAAAATCGTGCAAAATAATTCTTTGCCATGGACAGGAAATCGTTTGACACATGTTTCTAGATGAGACGATGTTTGTGCTCTTGATGAGCTTTATAACAAAAACAAAAATTTTCTGTCTTCTGTTATTCTGTGTGAAGAACCACTTTATGACCCTAAAAGTTGTACACACAGTGAAAAGGTTCAATCCCTTCAAAATTGTGTAAGTTCTATTGATAAATATATATATAATTCCTTAAGTACTGTAATGTTCCTTGTGTTGTCACAAACATGACATATAAGACCATATTTGGCACAACGTTTCGGAATTTTCGGCAAATCATGCTTTCAACTTTGCATTTTATTTGGTTTGCCAACTGTTTTGATTCGAGCACCACTGATAAGTCTTATGTAGACGAAAAAACGCAGATCAAATTAAAAACCTGTTTTGTTTGATGATTTTGTTACAACCACTAGGTCGATGTCACTGCTGGTGTACGTTTTGTCCCCGAGTGTGTCACAGTAGTTTGAAATGTCAGTGATATGTTCATTTTCTGTAAATTCACGGTTTCTAAAATGTTGAAATATTAAAAACACTAATAAAATTGAGGAGGGAAATGGGGAATGTGTCAAAGAAACAACAACCCGACCATAGAGCAGACAACAGCCGAATGTTTTTTTCTACACTTAGATATCGACTGCCTTAGTCGGAATTCGCACAACTGTTCTAAATTTTCGGTCATTAATGGTCTTCCACTTTGTATTTGATTAGTTCTTCCAACTGTTGTGTTTCAAGCGCCACTGATGAGTCTTATGAAGACGATGGGCAGTCAACTTAGGGATACAGCATGGAACGTGTTTGTAGATAATTATAATCTTGTCTGGTATACTGACGGTTTGGCCAATATCCATAAAAGTTGGTACACATAAATATGGAAAGAGGATAAATTATCATTTTCTACAATAAAAAAAATAGGAAAGTCCTATTTCAATTTAGGGTTTGATGCTGGTGAGTGTTTTTGTACAAAGTCTTTGTATGCTGCAGACTCAAACATCAGGTCATGTTAAAAGAAAAGATATAAGTGCAAATTAACACGAAGATGCAGTTTCCAAGATCGTAGACCAAGAGGCCTGATCAGCATAAGGATAGCAAACGCAATGCAAACCAAACAATCGATCAATACATTGTCACCTAATAATATAAAAATAAGGCGATGTGGTATGAATGACAATGAGACAACTATCCACCGAAGACCACATAACGAGGATGTAAAAGACTACGTGGTATTGTACGACTTTATTAAAAGCAAATTCCATACCTTATAGTAAGCTATAAAAGACCATGTCGTTAAAAAGTGTGAAATTAAATTGAAAAGAGAAAACCGCTCTTTTTGTTCTGCCAGGAGATTAAGGTTACTTGAAGGTTTCAAAACCATACACTTGTAAACTTATCTAATATGGATACATTTTGAGGTACCCTCGTTGATCCTTTCCTGTTAAGTTGAAATTTCTTTTTTAAGTACAGTTTCTATGATTTTTTCCTCTGTATTATTGTTCTCTTAGTAATAAGTAAATGTGTAACACATTAAATCTGTCTAGATTTATATTATGAACATTGATTTTACCTACAGGTAGTTAGAATTAAGGAACACAATAGTTTGTAACAACCTTTATTATATATTAATAAAAACATTTAACAATCTACAGTTTAATAAGATACACAAAATGTATTGCACATTTTAAATTATTGTAAATTTATTTGAATTTTGTAGAGGACTTTGAAATTTATTAATAAATTAAATTATGACCAGTTATGAACTAAATATATGAAAATATAAAGATAAAAAGGAATTACCGATTAGTGTCTTCTTTTTTAATTTGAACAGATTTTCGTAAGACAATTAGTCACGTACCCTTGCAAGTGTTTTTTTATGAATTTTAAATAGGAAGAAAGGAATTGGTTCATTTGAAGAGAATACTTTGAACAATCTCATCTGAAAGTAAAAATACATATGTCACCTCTTAGATGTTTATGCAATATTTTTTTCAAAGAACCTCATGATTCTTAATTTTTCAATGTGTAAAATTGAAAGAAGAAAAATGTAGTAACGAATATATAAATAACCATCATATCTAAAATTGTGACCTTTATAAATGCATCTTCATTTGGATGCCTTGTTCAAAATAATAGATACACATAAATGAAAACAAACATGTTTTATTAAAAAAAAAAATGACTGTTAAAATTATATAAGTGGCAGATGAAATATTCGTATTATCTCCTTTTATTTATATATCACTAACTACTAACGTATTTATATATAAGACGTTAGAACCAATACCCAACAGTACTTGTATATTAGATTAATAGGCATAACTCTTGAACAGTAAAACAAATCATATTTAGATTATAAACAGGACTTGTTAGACAATAGCATGGAACTTCTTCATGGGAACATCTCGAAAACTGAAACCAAATCATCACTAATTTAAAATGTAAGTACTATTTCAAACAATCTATATTTAGGCAACTGAAGTTTACTGATGTTAAAATCTCATAAATCGAATAAGAAAATACAAATCAAAGTAACAAACAAAAACTGAGAGAATCGCATGAAATAAGGCATCAAGACCGAGTGCGTCGATAGGATAATTAAAAAAGTCGACAGTATAAAATCTGTTTTGCTTTTTATGATTTAATTTTTCAAGGTCTAATATTAACATCTGAATAGTTGGATCAACCATGTTGAAAATTATACTTAACCAAGTTTAATGGTTTACGATCATTTTATTAAATGAACACGTTCTGTCAGAGAGCTAAAACTATTTTCTGAAAACCATAAAATTTGTTGAAAATTTAATATGACTTATGACCATTTCTAAAGATATCCATGAAGTAATTCAAACCTTATTACCTTGTGGAACCCTTGCTTTAACTCCAATTTATTGGCGTGGATCGGAATGCCATTATTGTTTTTTGTATGGTGTTTTGTAAACTATTGTTTCTTCCACCTATTTATCCTGCAGGTGGTGCTGTTTGCCATTGTGTTGCCAATATTGGTGTTGTTTGCACTTGTGTTGCCAATATTGGTGTTGTACGCCCTTGTGTTGCCAATATTTGTGTTGTTTGCCCTTGTGTTGCCTATATTGAAGTACGCTATTCTGAAACCATAAGTTTCGAGCAGATCGACATACAAAAACGGAGACTATATGTCGAGCCGCTTAAAATAGTACAGGTAGGCAGTAGTTATAAAATTTATTGATGTGATGTCATATGACGAGTCAAATGATGGCGTTCCTTAAATGTTTCTTGACAAATATTACATTTAAGTTTATCGTCTCTTTTTTTAATAACGGTTGGACTTTCTTTTGAATGATGGGACCGCATGTGATAAACTAGGTCACTGGTCATTCGGAATGACGTATTACACTTTGCGCACCAGTTTGTAGATTGTGTCAAAGCGGGCAGTGGTTTATGCAACATTGCCATATTACTTGTTTGGAGAATCTTCTCAACCATAGGATTTGCACTTTTGGAAAATGGTATTGAAGCAGTCAAACTACTATTCATATTCATTAAATACTGTTTTCTAGAATTCGGCGATAAACTTTCCATGTTTCCCATAATTGAATTTTGCACAGAAAATGGATATGCCATTCCTATACCATAAGTGTCCATCACTTTATTATGTATGTCTGTGTTAATGCTAGCGTTCATCATACCACGTGGTATCATGAGTGTGGATAACATATCTGGAGGAACAAAACACTCCTTAGTTGATACTGGTAGAGACACATATGGAGGAACACAGAGTCGGTCATTTTCATATTTCATGTTTGTTTTGTCTTTCTGAGAAACATCAACTTTATTTTCATCTTTTGGACTAGAAATGGCTTCTTTTTCAACTTTTCTAAACGCACTCGAGCAGAGATCGGACTTTTCGTGAGCATGATTTGGTACATTAGAATTTACATCTCTATAGTCTTTCGATAACATTATTTTATCAATACCATGGACATTTTCTTTCAGAAACTTTTTATTTGCGATGTCCTCTGAATGTTCTAAACTTCTTTTCCGACAATGGTTACTCTCCAATTCAGTTGACACAGATAAACTTTGCTTATTTAACCGCATTTTATGTGATCCAACTTCACATTTAAACTTCATGTGTGCTTTAAGTGAGAATATATATTCGAATGTTTCTCCACATCTTGAACAAATATATTTTTCATTTTCTACAAATAAGAAATAATAGGGTATTTTTTTTAAAATAATATGTTAATCTATCAATTATAATATTTTTAATTAAACTATACTCAAACACTAAAACATATTTAGTAGTTGAATGATATTTTTGGTTGGTTTTCTGTACCAAACGCAATAAACTAATTGTGATGTTTTATATTTCAAACTCCGAAAGAAAAAAATCACTGGTTGGTATAATCATTTTCAATTTCTGCCGTTTTAACAGGGCATGTGTTTTCATTACCAAAATATAGCGTTCATTCAGACAAGCCGCGAGTGACAAAGACAACCTGTGTTATGACAGCAAAAAAAAAATCAAATGTTTTAAAGGGACCCATTTCGTATGTTCTATTTAATGTCGTAACTTTATTTTACGCTGTCTTTTTACTGTCGTATGGCTAGCAGTTGACATGTACATTCTTTTGTTTCAAAACTATAAGTGTTTGACATGGGTGTACAGAAAAACGCGACATGCAGACTGAAATGTTATAGATATATGTGCTGGAGTGTTTGTTTCAAGTTATAATATATTCTGAGTTTTCCCGTATTTACAGATTTCCATGATAAATATTAAAAACATGATTTCCTAAATAAGAGGTAAATTAGCTTCAGGCATAGCGAAACACTACAAGGCTTCGATTTTTTAGTTTTCTTCTTTTTCTGGTTTCCGTATACTTTGTTCTTAACTTCATTACAAAGAACCTACAGAAAATTTAAAGTAAAGTGTGAACTTAAACTTGTACCTTTTATTGAATTTAGATAAAAATGTTACACAAAAATATGCAAAAATAAGAATAAATAATAGAATGCTAGCTATTGAACGTGGTCGATACAATAAAACAGCCTTAGAAAATAGAATATGTCCCTTATGCCATAAAGAGGTGGAAGATGAATTCCATTTTATCATAACATGCACAGAGCTTTATAAACCTAGGATCAAAATGTTTAATGAAATTTCTAATTTTGTCCCCTGTTTTAATTCAATGAGTAATGAAACTAAATTTGATTTTATATTTTCTTGTGAAGAATGTGATATATTAATTATCATTGTTAACAGTATAAGTGAAATATATAATGAGAGAAACAACTATAATGTCAATATTTTAACTGCGTATGATTCATGACTAATATTATAATATAATATATAATCAAGATATTTGAAAAGATAACTTTATAGAGGAGGCATGTTGTCAAAAATAGTATTGTAATAAATATTAACACTTTTTATTTGTTCAATGCTACATGTTTGTATTGTTTTCTGTCTATCGTTTTGTTATTTACGCGTTTTTTTTTCTTTAGTAACAATCCTATTGTTTGGATATTAAACTAATAAAATTCTTATTCTTAATAAAACTAACACGTGCTTTAGATATATCTGTTTAACTTTAAAATCATGACTAATATTGAAAACTAAAACAAAATTTATAGCTGGTTGCTCTAAAAGTATTCATTCATATGACAGGTTATATTTAAGTATATTACCTGCAAGTGGTATTCTTTTAACTTCTGGTACATCAATCAACTGACAGAAGTCTTTACTGTACCACACTAAGAGTTCTTCTCTCGATTTTATTATACGTAACGCCCTATAAAACACTTCTTTATTCTTCACGTACGCCTCCATATTTTGTTCATCTTCATTTCTGGCTGGGTTGATGTAAGCCAGCCATTCCATTCCACGTGCCAACCCATTATTTATTGAAGGGTCAATCTGTAAACGACAAATGTTGACAATCATTTAAACTATTTAAATGGCTATTAGATAGATGACATTGAGATTTTAATTTCTAAAGGGCGGAGACGACGCCATCTTTAATGGCTGAAGCGGTCGGATTGGAAATTTAATGTCACTATTGACAGATGCATTCTGTCTGAATGATGAATGACTTATGACCAACGAACGACGGTAAAACTTGAGATATTGTAAAGAATACTCAGAACTTACAACATACTGCTTACTGTTTTGAGGAAGACAACTGTTTATACAGAGACAACTTGTACTTGTATTTGATGTTGCGTATTAAGCAAGCGGTTCTCATAGTTAACCTTCACCACTAAATCAATAAATCCTTAGACCAAAATATTTACAAAGTGTATTTTAAGACACTTGGAAAAAGGATATAGACCATACGAACCTTAATAGAATATTTAAAATCGCACATCAACTGTTCTTAAGGGATTTGGAATCTTATATTTGATATTTGAACGATATAAATTTGTTAACAAATTATTTAAACACAATGTAAGTAATACAATATGACCTGTCGTGAAGCCCAGGAAACTATGCTGATTATATCAGAGCACAAGCAGTAGTATTGAGTAAATGGTAGTTAATCAAAGTCAAATATTTAAAATTTGCTGAGGTCTGGATAAATCTACAATAGGAATGTTCTGAACAAAATCTTTGGACGACACAATCCAAGGTAAACTTTTCAAGATGAAGTTAGAACCATGCGTTTTGGAAAAATAAAAAAAAGACTAACGATAATTTTTTATCATTTAAGTGTCATATAGTTGGTGAGGATATTGGATTTATTTATTATATTAAAATTAGTCCATTTGCCTGACCTTGTAATTAAATGTTTATGAAATAGTAACGTTAACTAACTCTTATATTTGGCAGAAACTAAATCCATTTCATAATTGGAAGCTTAATTTTAAGTCATGACACTCTGCATCGGCTGATGAGTACCCATACTTTCAGTATGTCCTGGGAGTTTATTTATCACTCAGTCTGATACTTCCTTTGAGGCAACTTAGTTTCTGATTACACAGCCATGTATTTCTGTTATATTAATTTCTAATTACACAGCCAATGTATTTTTGTTATATTTTATATGCTTATCAACTGCAGCATTTTCATATAAAGAATCCTTTTAAAACCGATGCAGCTAAAAAGAGAAAGAATCTCGAAATAGCTTAAAATGTTTATTAATGAAACATCAGAAAAAAATAGATAAAAATATTTTTAAAAAGTTTATTTTATTTGTTTGCATTGCCACAAATTGTTAATTTTGAATTAGTTGAAATTTTTGTAATCTATTTCAAACAGTAATAATACGTTTCACAATGAACATAAACTTTCATTCAGTAACATTTGACATTTTCGCAGAAGACCTTTTATTGCGAAATTTACTAGAGGCGAACAGTTAACTTTTCTTTTAAATGCATTGCCCAATTCATGAGACGAGAACAATGATTATCAGATAAGATTTAACTGACCTATCTAAAACGCCAAACCGTGAACAAACACCGAAGGAAAAAAACAAAACCCGACATATATACGGTATGTATTCGCTCTTCAACATAATGTACATGTATTAGATTTTGGACTTTCAAAATGTTTTGGCCTCGAGCATCCCTGAAGAGAAATCAATTGTCGAAATGCGTATCTGGTGAAACAAAATTGGTACCGTTAATGTTATTATAACCCACGTTTCCGTGTTTGCTACTCTCTATATGTAACTTAAATTTCTTTTTTCTTAACAGTGATATATGTTAAATATTATTTATAAAACTCAGATAAGAGATGCAAAGGATACCAAATTTACATTCACACTCTTAAGTCGAAAATAAAACTGACAACGCCATGGCTAAAAAAGAAAAAAAACCAAACAGACAGACAGATAAACAAACAAACAAACAACAATACCAAAGACTGAGCAACACGAACCCCAGATAACCCCGGAATCTTGTTTATTGTTTACTGCTAGGTCTCAACAAATAATGTAGAATATGAATCAGTAAACTTTGAAAAAGGACAATATTTGCATATGCATAGCCCCGCTCCCACGTCCACCATATTAATTGAGATACCAATTCAAATCCCCAAAACCCTAAATGTACCGTTGCTGATGTCTACATGCAGTCACCGTCACGGACTTGTTGAAGTTAAGCAAAATATATATGCACAGTGACATTCAAAATTCAATATAAACCTGAAATATTTGCGGCTGACAGAATTTAAGGTAAAGATACCTCTAACATTGGTCCCTGGTGTTGTGTGTCTTGCGTCAGCATTCCAATAGCATACGTTGGATCCATAGCCGTGCTTGATATAGGAAACGGACCAAAAATATGTCCATAATCAATATCTACCACTGTTATCACACCCATTTGGAATTTTGTCTGTAACAAAAATATAAATAAACTTCACATTTTTTTATGAAAGGCATGGTAAATGAAATAACAATAAAAGCTGTGTGATTCAATGATTATCACAACAGAGTAAATAAACCTAACACCGAAAAGATTATAAAAACCAGATTTTAAAATTCATTTATTTCGATATTTCATTTCTTCTGTCTTTAATTAATTATAAATAAAAGTTATTCCCACAAGTTCAATTATTTCGGAAATTTCTCCAGTCTAAAATAAATGATCAATAAGTCATTCCCCCAAGTCCAATGATTTCGGGAGATATTTTTTAATTACAACAGTCTTTACGCTTTGTTTTTCTGTTTTCGTTTGATAATAAACAGATTTTGTAACAAAACGCAATTGAAAAAAAAAAGATTTAAATTGTAATAAACATATTTAATCATTTTGCCGTGAACAATAATTTCGGTAATAAAAAAGCGCTATGTTCATTTAAATTGGCCGATAGGATTGAATCTGACTGTAATCATTGTCACTGAATAAAATGATATCAAACGAGTTATTTAGGATCAGGTGGTCAATGTTTTTACTGAATATTGTTTTATTCACGAGAGATTAACTGGGATTCAATAACTGCCTTAAACGATGAGAAATTAATATGATTTTACGGCATCCAAACACTCAGATAGTCAAACCATATGCTGCTGTGTTGAAGTAGGATTCTGGTGCGATTGTCAATGCACTTTCAAGTGAACAGTATAACAGAGCAGCGATTTATTTCAAATTAGGATTTAGAACGTGTCTTTGAAATTTCTTAGAATACATTGAGTAAAAATTCATTGGCTTCATATGTTTCATTAAAGAAATAGAAGGTTATAAAAAAACTACATTTTACGACAAAAATTGAATAAAAAATATCGATATTTCACTCGTTATGCAAAAAATACATTTCCTTATTAGTACAAAAATACATTATGAACATGAACAAGTATGTTCTCATGACTCGAATAATCTCATAATGCCAAATGTTTTTTATGTTAATTGGTTTAATTAATTCTTCTCGTATTTTTCATACTGAAAAAATAACATCTACAAATTGATTTACTCAAAATAAAGTCAAAACGTTTTAGAAAAAGATTAGTTTAGAAAAGAAAGAAAAAGGACAGAAAAACAAAACAACTTATTCAAAGTAGACTTAGTTTTCATACAAAACAGTCATTCGATTTTTCATTTATAATTATTTTAGAATGCATCTCACATGATTTATTCTTTTTCGATAAAGTTTTAACTTGATTTTACCTAGTTTTATCGGATGGAGTGTAAAGTGTCTGAAGCATATTTTCTAAGGCAATTCATTTTGTTGTACAAAGAATTTAATAACATGGAGATGTTCAACGTAGAGTTTATTGTGAAAGCCTTCAATGAAAAACTGTAAAATAGAAATAAACGAGGGTTTAAAGCGTATTAAAGAATTTGCATATTGACAGTTATGATAGAAGAGAATGAAAGAGATTCTTTTTCCAAATAGCTGTGTCAAATTATAGTTATAGCTTGATCGTCGAGGATTAAACAGAAAGCAGACCTTATGTCTTACTACAAAAAAGAGGTGCCCTTAATATTAACTGTAAACATTAAGATTTATTTTGTTCATATACGGTAACAAATTTTCACAGTGTGAAACATTACACATATAAAACAATCAAACAGGTCAGATTTCCGATAAACCTTTGAAAGCTTATTGTGATATTTTTAGTTTTCAAACGAACTTTCTATGAATGTGAACTTGTATAAAAGTTTTGGGCAACCTTGTAGTCAAACCTGTTATAAACATAGTTAGTCAGGTTATTTGATAACTTGTACATTAAAGATAGCCTCGCCGTTCAGACTAACATGATTAAAACCTGTTATTTCAGAAATGAAATCCAACGATTTCTATAGCAATTTTGCTTGGATAATGTGACATTTAAAAATTCGGATTGATTGGGATGAAAATACAAATGTATTCTTAATCAAACAGGAATCATCATTGTGACAGAAAAGGTCTGCTAAAAAGACGGATGTTATCCAATTTGTTTCGAAAGAGAAGTTTCTAATTAAAAAAGGAATAATTGGATTTGACCAAAGAGTCGAGGCTTACTTTTCTATAATATGATTTCAATCTATTCTAAATTATATTTTCATAGTGACTCTAGTGGACACTTTTGGGGTAGGGATTGGAAAAAAACTGAACCTATCTTAAATTTTGTATACAAGAACTATAATATTAGGGATAACTAAAGTACGTTCATCTTTCCAAATTCAAACACACTTTAGGGTAGTATAAACGGTTAAGGATCAGGGGTGGTGTTCTCGAAAGTATCCTGAGATTCGTCCTAAGTCATAGATAAGACCAATTTTAGGATGGACTTAGGATCATCTTAGGACACTCTTAAGTTGTGTCTCGAAGCTATCTCAGACGCATCTTATGTTAGGACGTCCTAAACATATCCTATGTGCGAAATTTTAAATAGTTAAAGTAATTGTTTGATAAAACATTTATTAAAGACGAAACCAATTAATAAAATTGTTTACGAAATTTTAAAATTACATGTATTTAATTAAATGCATGATTTCAAATGTAATTATAAAATAACATCAAAAAGGATTGTGATTTAAACTGGAAAACAATTTGTTTTGAAATGAAAATATTGAATTCGTAGTGTCATCGTATCGTAAAACACGAAGTTCAAAGTTTAAAATCATGCACAAATTCTTTAAACGAGTTAATAACCGATGGTGCGTTTCATTTCATGTTCATCTTCACGTAAAAAATTGAGAAAAAAGCATGCACAAAGTTAGGATGAAGATATGATGATCTTAAGACACCTAATTAGGTGTCCCAAAGTTAGGACGAAAAAAGTGATATATCCTAAGTTAAGAGAGCTTCGAGAACACGACTTAGGACAAAGACTTGTCATAAGATGGTCTTAGGACACGTCCTAATCTTAAGATAGCTTCGAAAACACCACCCCAGAATTGAGGTTGTGAATAATTTTACTATTGAAATTGTATAGGTACTTACTAGTACGCATATCTTATGTGCAAATGCATAATACAAGTTGACTTAGAAAAAGACGAATTTTACTATACAAAATATAAAAATATCTGCATATCAGTTGTCTTATCGTTATTGTTTACCATCCTACATGCTAATGGCATCCTATGGAAAATAATGCTTCATTTTAAAATTATATAATGTGGTAACTTAACATAGTATGACGACGTAAATAAATATCAATTTTGGACTTTCTTATTGATGTATTGTTTTACTTTAAAAAATTGTAAAACAGATATCAGGTATCTTCAGTTTTAATACTGTGGAATTTGCTAGAATGTTTTGTAATAAATATCAAGGAATAACATATAAAAGTTACTTACAGTAAAACGTTCTTAACATATGCAATAAGTATGTATGATAAGAAGTTAAACTTTGCACAACATATTTGTAAGATTAATTTTCAGGACAAAATAAGTTATTGGTCAACGAAAAATATCTTTTATAAAAATGTCTAAACAACTTCTACAACGTTTGGATACCCCTCGTATAACATTATTCTAAAACGTTTAAATTTCTAAGTCGATTAGTCGATTCCATGGGTATCTTTAACCCTAGTGCATGAGTATTAGGTCTGATATATAAATACGTCCATGTAAATCTCCAATATGCTGCTTCTTGTACATCTTTACGTTCTTGACTCTGTACTCCGTGGTTATTATCTTTTATTTATTTTTTACGGATTGTTATACATAGTAATTTTATCTATATATGCAGTTTATACATGTCAAGAACTTCATATATAAACGGTACTTCTTTGTTATAACCTGCCTAATAAATTTGATGCATAGTTTGTTATTTTAACATTCCGACCTTTGCTGTATTCAGATATATAAAACTAATTATTTTCACACAACATTGAATACTTCTTCCAATTTCTAATTATAAAAGGACTCTTCTTCTTAGAATTTAGCTTTAATCCTGTTTAAATCTTTATCTGTGTACAATATATACTTTAAACTGAATGATGTGATGGTAGTTGAGTTATAACACAAGTTGAAACATATCGCCAAGTCAGAAAATAAAAATCGCACAAGACTCAATATAACACTTCATAAATAAATACGGATTTATATAAGTTTGTCTGGTTTCAGAATCCCTATGTTTCTGTTGTATATTTGTTATTTGTGAACTTTTGAAAAATAAAATATTGTTTAAACTAGAACTTCTTTTAAAAAAAAAGATACAATGATACAACAAAATATAATAAATGTACTGTTAAGTATACTCGTATTTTCAGATGCCTGTTATTGTGCATAAACATTTCGTAAAGTGTTCGTCAAAAGTATATCTAAACGAGAAAAATACTAGAGCCTAGTAAGAAAATTTTTCTCGAATGTCTAGAACATTTTTGAAGGCATAACATTATGCATTGATATAAAATGCATAAAAAGATCTTTCGGAATATCAAAAAGGTCTTACTTTTTTTATGAAACATACTTTTAACGTTTTGGTAGTTCATTGATTTGTTAAAATAAATCATATGGACAATTCATATCGTAAATGCTTTCCATTTATCCCAAAATAATAAGTTCATGGTAATGTTAAAACGTCTAAAACTTTCAAAGTAAGTTAAGTTGTTGAATCTTCAGTATTGAATTCGACAAAACCGGTATTAAACTCGAAAAACTATACCTGCCTTACTATAATACTATGAATTGACTTACCTTTGCAAAAGATTTGGAGATTGACTCTTAATCTGTTACATACGGTCTAAACATAGTGAATATGTCATAGGCTTAAAAGGAAACATCTTTTGTATGGTTAGTGCATCCTTTACACATGCGCATTGTAATTGGTCATAATCATAATGACTGTTTTCCTTTTCTTCAGCTATTCACTGGAATTATTTATACACCTCTATTGATTTTTTACAGACCAATAAAGAGACAACAACATTCAAGTATTACAATTTTATGTTTTGCAATAGCCTTAACTTTACCTACGACTATTGTGCACAGGTAATTTCACATCATTCAATATTTAATTAAATGTTTAAAATTTCAATTAAATGCAGATTTTCACCTGTTCAGAATTTTTATATCAATGTAACAAGACTTTTTTCTACCATTTTAACTAATGACTAGTTTTTTAAAGAGCATATGTCTCGAACAATTGACTTTTAGATCATAGTGATCGCGGACAGATCGTCTTTCTTTAAAAATCATAAAACTGGGATTTAAACACAAAAGGTGCATTGTCAACCTAGGGAGAATAACTTTGTTAATTTGAATAGCCTGTGTTTAGCAGTCGACGTCGCCATCTGCTGTTACAATAATATCAAACAGTGGGACGGTGTCTACTCTTAAACACTCTAATAGTTTCGATAGCTCCTTATCTATAGGCAGGCGCATCCACCGCAAAATGAAGCACCCGCAAAAGCTAATGAAATCATTCGTAAAATGCATCCACGATGCGATTTGCGTTGTTTAATATTTAATTAGGATACTTTAAACACCCCTAGATGTCTTCACTTATAGGTTCAAGTGGCCAGAGGCTTCTAATGTAAAAATAAAAATATAACGACTACCTAATGTGCATGTGTAAAGAAGAAGACTAAACTTGATTGCATTTTCTGTTTTCAGTTATAAAGAGTCATTTTTTTAAAATTATTTTTTTAGAATTCAACTTAAATCAATATTTGTTTTAATGTAACTAAATAATCACCATATCTAAAAGGAAGATAAAAATAATATGGCAGCATACACGTTTATGTTAAGGTAACAGGTACGTTATGAGCAATCTCTCATATTTTTATGAAGTTTATGTTAAGGTAACAGGTACGTAAAGAGCAATCTTATATATTTATGAAGTTTATTCAATATGAAAGAGCATTTTTAAAGCGCATCTTAATATCGAAAATTTCCGGATCTACGGTATGCATCCTAATCATGCATAGCTCTGATTCCCATTCCTGGTTAGGCTATTTTTAAAATATTAGATTATATAAGCTATTCGACGCGTGTATTTCATATTTTGTTTTTTTTCACCGTTCATTACTGAAGTTATTATTTATCAAAATACGCATCTGATGCACTAAAATTGGCACCGTTTACTGTTTATATATTTAACTTTATTCTGAGATATACAAGTGTTTGGTTGAAAACCAATCGAGTAGAGGTGCGAATTGTACTAAAATATCAAGAAAGCATAAACAATAACACTTTTTTTGGCAAAACTTTTAGGAATTTTTGGTCCTAAATGCTCTTTAACTTCGTATTTTGTTTGGCCTTTTTAACTTTTTTTTGATTCGAGCATCACTGATGAGTCTTTTGTGGACCAAACACGCGTCTGGCGCAAATACAAAATTTCATCCTGGTATCTATGATGAGTTTATTTACATCAAAATATCTAAATCAAAATCTGCAGTACCAATTTTCTGTAAAAATAATATCATATTGATCACGAATATTTTTTATATGTGTATGGAATTATACGGGGCTACCGAACTCGTTTTGTTGTATAAATCATTAAAAATATGTGTGTCATTTTTATATATAAATCATTGAAGTATGTGTGTCATTTTTATAAACATTGAAAATAAGATTTTCGATGCATGATGACGTCTCAACATTACTATTCTTTTGGTCTTTCTGACCTTGTTTTCCCACATTGCTTACGCATATCGTTAATTTACAAAAAAGAAAGGAAAACAGAACGAATCTGGTCATCGCTATCAATTTTGCACAAATTATACAAAAATTCCAATGTCAATAAGATAGACAATATTATATTCTTTAAAGAAAAAAATTGAACAGGATTTCATTAAATATGAAATGATTTATGTAACCTAAAGTTTAAATCATGGACGTTTTTTGGACACTTTTATCTACAAATTTGTGCTTCTGTTAGTTATTGAAAAATTTTGGCAATATTTACGTTCATTCTAGTAATGTGTAATAGATATTTTGCTAATTCTCGGTAGCATACACATTAAATATATCTGTTTCTTCAATAGCCAGATGCAGTTTCCCATATTCTAGTTGCGTACACTAATTCATAAAAATCCGATAGATTGTTCAATTAGATGCTAGTTTTTAAAATGAGGCACCGTTAATGTCGAAAGGTATAACGTCTTGGTCGTTTATGGTATGCAGTCATTGAACAAGTATTCGGAATAGAGAGAAAAAGATTTTAACAATGCTGAACAACCGCTGTCATACAACTGTATTTAGCACTCTTTTGTTTTAATGTTTGCATTGCTTAGCAGATATTTGAAACTTATAGGATCGGTATCAGTAGTTTTAAGTTTCGTCTCTGAGGGCATCACGTTTTTTTAATAATTGCGAGAAAGCTAAGCATGTGTTGCTAAGAAGCTGACATTCGGACGACATGTAAAGGACATAACTGTTATGACTCCTTCTAAGATCAGTATAGGCACTAAGTCATGGATGTTGGTAGATTATGCCATGGAATATGTTATCTAATTTCTTACAGGGAAAAAAATGTTTCTAAAAATGAAATGAAAGGAGGTCATATTGTCTTTAAAGGATAGTAGTCTAGAGTTCTTTATTTTTAAGACATTTGTGTGTTACTTCGTTGCCACTTACTATTGGTTTGTATAGTACAAATACCTAATTCACTGGTAAGTCTCAAATATATAATTTTAGCCGGATCATTGAACAAGAAAACTTTAATGTCCCTTTGCTATCTTTCGCCTCTCTTTTAATGCTAATCGGCATGTATTTGCCAAAAGAGGTCTTCTGTTGGAGTGTGTCTTCCGAGAGAACCAAAAAGACAGGTTGTACTCTTCTTCATTATATTTTATAATGATATATATATATATACAACCAGAATTAAAAGATTGCTTTCATTAAACACCATACAATGGATGAAGTAGATCTAACAACAAGATGCGAAGCATTCACGTAGATGAAGTGAGAACAATGCGGAATAGAGTAATTATTAATAAACACATCATAGATACCAGGCTACCAGATATAAAATTTTGTACGCCCGATATATAAATATATACATCTTCCACTGTATGCTTCTCAAAATATACATATTAAATAATCATACTACTGACGAGAATCAACACATTTCACGGTATAGAGTAAAAGTAGTTTTTATTGAAACCCTAGCAAGTTAACACAGACAATAAATATCCTTATCGTGTGGATTAAGAAAGATATGAAATGCAAGACAGGCATGAATTACTTGAAAGAGGATACCCGGAAAACGATAGAAAGACTGTGTCGTATGTTCGACTCTGAACAAGCGTAAAAAATCCAAAACTGTATGCAATAGGTGCATGAATGAGTTCACAAATAGTATGTACACAGTCATTGAACTTTAATTAATACAAGTCATTTGATGATATAGTCTTTGAAATTTTCAGATTGAAGGAGGATGCTTTATTTATTTCACCATATGAATAAACTCATCATAGATACCAGGATTGAAATTTTGTATTTGCGCCAGACGCGCGTTTCGTATGAAATGTCTTATAACAAACAGACTTATAGTCATCGGATAATACTGCACTCACTAGCCGTTTGCCGCACCTGAGTCTATCCAAAGTTTTTGGTTAGGTTTTTTGCTTCTTTCATATTTTGAGTTTTCATTCAATGTTGTCCTTTGTATTCCTCCTATATCCTTTGCCCATTTTTGTCGTGTCCCTGGATTTATCGTTCTTTCCTGATACTTCGGAACTGACATGAAGTACTACTAACTGCTACCTTGTGAACGAACTAACATGTTAAACAAAATCGGCTCAGCATTTGCAAAGGTTAGATAAGTCATTTTTCTTTTATTCTATTGCAAGATGAATAAGACTTAGATTGTATGTACTATCACTGATATTTCGATTTATTTAGTCCAAAGCGCTCTTCTGAAGTACCTTCGTCAGAAATGGCCAAACCGAAACATTTGAATATATACACGAAGAGGTATATGACCAAAAGGGAAAAAACCCAACCAAATCAAATATATATAAGGTCATCTTTGCCTGAGAGAGTTATACCATGGTTTCTTAAAAATGTCTGAATTTATCATGTATTTCAAAATTATATTACTACCAAAGCTTTTGAGCTGATGATACCCTCCGGGACGTACAGTCCACCAAAAGAGGTTCAGTGCTAGAAAATGAAATTAAGACGTTAAAAATTACTTGGTTCCAAAGCGTTTTCTTGATTTACCTTCATCAGACACGCTCAAACAAAAAAAAAACAAAGATGTATAAATACCTGAATATGGGAAAATCTATATTACTAAAAGAGATCTAACCGGAACAAGTCATAAAAATAATATGATTCACTCATTTTTCTGTTCAAGTTAATATGTTTTTTTTTTCTTTCTTTTAGATATAACAACTGTCAGAATTAAATTATCGAATGTGTTTCCAGACAAGGTACCCGATGACCCTGTAAATATTGATTTTATAAAGAAGATCTTATCAATATCGGATGTTATTTTAAAGGAATCTGAAAAGGTAATATGAGAATAGTCACTGAAGCAATTTTAAAAGATGGCGCAGTTGATATCTCGTACAATGATAAGGAAGAAGACATTAACACAACAACCATAAACAATTGAAATGAACATGCCACCAGTACTGATATTGATCGTATTAGGTAAAAAACAAGAGGCTGAACAATTTCCATTAATTATTATTTATGGACTGGAATTTGTGACGAGATAACAAAAGAAAAAAGGAAAAATAAATCGTTGGCATGATAAGACGAGGAAAAAACCAAAGGCATATAGGAATATTTGTCAACA